TTGTTCCGGTGATACCGTACAAGGTATCCTTCATTGTTGTAGTTCCAATGGTCACTGTTGCCTCCAAGGACTTGTTGTGGTCCATGTCTTGTCAGTGTTGTTGGGGCAAACATTGCAATCATGCCCTTTTGTGTATGTCTCAGCTGTAGTTGCTGATGTTGTCCCAGGTTCATGATTGTTGCTGAGAGGTTGTGCTGCTGCACCAAGGGAACATTGAATCCCTTGTCATGGCGCATTGTGGGAGTGTCGTTGAACCTGATGTCAAAGCCTTGTTCTGCCAGTCTTGTCACCGACAGGATTGGGTCCTGGATGTCACACACGTAGAAGGGTATGACAATTGGTTGTCCTCTTCATTGCATGTAGACCCATCTTACTCCATAGCATTGTATTGTCTTGTTCGTCACTGTCCTGAGGTTTGGGCTTTGTGCTTGGTCAATCTTGTACACTGGATAGTTGTCTGCAAACCATAGTGGGCAGACATGTGTGGCTGCTCCACTGTCGATCATGATGTGCATAGTGTCTGTTGTGCCGCCGTTTGTTGGAGCTGGTTTGTGGTCATTGCCATTGCTGATCATGGCAATGACATGGATTGGTGTCATATCGTGGTTGCTGGTGGGATGGAATTGGCGGAAGTGCCAATGGCTGTTGTCCTTGTTGTTGTCGTGTGTAGTCCTGAAAGTGCCATCCATTGTCATAGTAGTCGTCGTACCATTGTGTTGTCGTGTCCTCAATGTCATTGCTTTCTCCTTGTCCAATGTTGTGTATTGCCACTCGGCAGTCTTTGGCATAGTGTCCTGTTCTTCCACATCTGTAACATGTATCTGTTGCTTGTTTTCCTTTGCTCTTTCCTTTTCCTTTGTTGTATCCTTTGCTGAATCCTTTGTTTCCTTTGTCGCCTCTTCCAAATGGATTGCCGAAGCCGGTCGGACTGCTGTGATAGCTATTGAATCCTTTTCCTCCATACTTTCCTTTCCCTTTGTGGTTGATGTTGTAACTGCTGTATCCGTAGCCGTTGTATCCTCCGTAGCCTTTGCCTTTGTTCTTTCCTTTTCCTTTGCCTTTTCGTTTGTAACTATTGTACTTTCCTTTTCCTTTGTGGATTGCATCAATGTCCATAGGTGCTTGTCCTCCACCAAAGCTTGTCGCCACACTGGATGATGGTGATCGTAGTTGTTGTAGTTTGCTGAATGCTGTTGTCGACCTGTAGTACTCGATGATTGTTGGTTTGACTCGTGCATAGTTTGGGCTTTGTCCTGAAAGCAGTTGTAGGTGTTGTTGTAGTGGTCCACTTGTCTCGTTGAGCAATACGGCAATCTTCACGGAGTCTGGGAGTGTTTGTCCATTGTCTCGCTCAAATCGTTGTAGCTCAAATTCCCACGTGGAAAATGATTCTTCGAAGTTGTTCTTGTCAAATGTTGGTTTCAACAATCTTGTCAAGTGTCCTATGGATCTTGTCCCCAATGGGATGGAGAAGCGGATGCACAATTGTCGGTACATCTCGAAGCCAATTGTGTGTTGGTATTGTCTGCAGACTGTAGCTGCTGCTCCTGTTGTTGTGTTGATGAGGATGTACCTCAAATCAGTGCTGAGGCGAGCATGTCGTTCACCATCTTCGATTGTTGATGCCGCTGCTCGTAACTGTATCTCTGTGAGTTCTGCTGTGGCCTGTTCCGCTGCTTGTAGCAAATCTGTATAGTCGTTGTCTTGCAATCCCATGTATGCTGTAAACTTGTACTTCCCTTCCTCGAACGTGCCATAGTCTCCATTGAAGAAAGGTGGTTCGAGCTTGTATCTGTTCATGTTTGCCATGTTTGTAGTTGTCTCATCTTCTGGAACTGGAGGCAGGCGAGCTGCTGCTGGTTGTGCTGCCATTGTTGCAGCTGTACAAGCTACCTGTTGTAGGGTCAAGGCTTGTCCTCTGTTGTCTGTGTTTGTGTGTCTGTTCCTGTTGTTGTATTGGAGCTCACCTGGATTGTTGTTACCAGGGTCCTTGCTCCGCTACCATGTAAAATTCAGCAGCTGTTTGTTGTCGTTTGTTTGCGCACGTCTGTGTATTGTTTTCCTCTGGCAACTGTCCTTAGGCTCAAGCTAGGCTAGGCCCAAGGCCTTTGATCCAAGGTGGAGTAAACATACAATTGTACAGAAGGTTGTATCTTGACACCTCCCTCCTTCCTTCCCTCCTTCGCTCCTGCGCTCCTTACCTCCTTCGCTCCTTCCCTCCTGCGCTCCTTCCCTTCTTCCGTCCGTCCGTCCTTCCTTCTTCCCTCCCTCCCTCCCTCCTTCCGTCCTTCCTTCCTTCCTTCCTCTGCATCGCTTAATTATTTTTTGATTGTCTAAATTTGTTTTCGATGATTTATATAAATTTTTTCTTGGTGACAAGCCAAGTTTTTCTTGATAGCCCTCCCCTTGTGGCACGCCACATTGTAACCATGAGACATTACACACTCACAAGGAACAAGGCTGGAGCACTGGAAAATTTAAATGGAGCCCGAGCCACAAAGAGCCACAAAGCTTCAACCCCCTCCGGACCCCAATGCACACAAAAGATCACAAAAGCAATTCCCTTGCAGTGGTGCCCCAAACTTCTGCTGAAACCTGGGTTTCAACACCTCTTTCTGCCATTTCTACGCTGCACCAGGCGTGAATTGCACAAGCTTCTCTTGCGCTGGCTTGCGAATCATTTTTTGAGCTGCACAGCTTTGAACAACTTGGACGCCGCAACCGAATTCCTCATAAGATTGCCTGCAAAGCTGTGACAAATGATGCCAGTGACTAAGTTGGTCACGTAACAAGCGCCCAGAAAAAGCACCAGGTAGCCGATGGTCAAACCAATTTGCCCTGCACAGGACACGCATGCCGAACTAGCATCTGAAAATGAGAACGGTTCTTACTCAGCAAAAGGTGCTTTTGACTGGCCTGGGTTGGTAAAAGCTCTGCCAAAGGTCGCCAAGCTCGGCACAATGTTGATTCCATAGATCTCAATTCCTTTCGGGGCATACACAACAACATCATTAATCAAGACTCTGGTCGTGTCTTTTCGTGGACACTGACCATTGGTACAGAAAAAGAACATTGATGAAGCCCGACTGTAAAGCTCAGAAATGTCACAGCCAAAAGCCCACCACCGGTCCATAATCTCGCAAAAACACAAAGGTCGCACGATTGAAAAGGTAGGCACCCAAGGTGTAGCCACCCAGAATCTCCAAGAATCGAACCTGAACTCGTGTTGAGATCCTTCAGATTCTAAACCGATTCGTTCTCTTGGATCTCTTATAGATCTTATAGATTTTCTTATTGCCGCCAATTCGTTGTCAACTTCGAATCCTCATGTCTGCACAAATTTTCACTGAATGCATTCAAGTTGTCATTCTGACCTGAACAATTAGTCAAAGAAGGTGCACACATTCTTGCCTATCTTAACTATATAAACGTAGTGCTGACATTGAGTGGGAATTGGTCATGGCTTGTTGGGAATCTTTGGCCTAGAAAGAAGGCTTAGTATGCTTAGTGCTTTGGCTAGTTGAAGCTTGAACATTTTGTGGTGCTAGGCCTGCCAAACTGCCAGGAGGTTGTTTTCTCATTCCCTGGCCTTAGGTGCAAACAGGACGGCCACGGCACCAACCCATAAAGCTTGCTGCAGCACAGCCAAAGGCATGCAAAATACCATCCCCCAACGTGTCTCACGACACGGGCTCCGGGATGCATCGCTGAAACCTCGGCCAAGGCCCCAAAACTATCGAATATAAATATAAATAAATAAAAAACATAATATATTTATATAGAGTAATCTATCTATTTATACACTAAGTTGTTGCACAGTCTAGGTTCTCATGACATTTCACGCATGTCTGATGTCTCATGAGTGCTGAGATGTCTGTCGAATTCCAGCTGCGCAGCTGCATGCGATCGGCGGCCTGACACTTGCGATGATGTATGCTAGTGATAGGCATCGCATAAGAATGCGCCCAAATGAGGATGTAGAGCTCCAGTGCATAGAGAAAGCCTTTACAGCGGCCTCGCATTCATGGCTACAGTGGTAGTTGTCAGAACTTGGGCAGAGGGAACAAAGCTTACAGTAATTGAATCATGGTTCATTGAGCGTTTCGGCGTGTTTCGACCCAAAACAACTAGAAAGCGAAAAATAGAAACAAGTTGCAGGGGCTACGTAGGCGCCAACCAGCATGAGTGTATATTCTGTAGACATTGCACCCGGGCTCAGGCGCTTTTCTTGATCTCCCCGAAATGGAAGCACTACTGAAGCCACAGTGAAGGCTGCTAGTTGCACCCATCCCGGCACTCCAATCTTGTGGCTCAAAACCAGCAAGATTCGACCAACGAAAATAAATAGGATAAACCAACCTCGGCTGAATAATTTTAGGGCACACCCATCAAGACTCCAAAGGTTAAAGACGCTATCAACCTCTATCGGGTCATCCTTGCAAAAAGGTGAAATCTTCAACCAAAACAAAGGCGAAAGAAAAAGATTCAATTCAATACAACAATTCAACATTGCATCAAAAGGGTGACAGTCAAACAGTAAATGCAAACAAGAACTTAGCTTGGCATTTGCTTGCTACACTCCCAAAAGCAAACCAAACAAAAGCAACCCTATTTGCACCGTGGCCTGGCTGTGCCTACGGGGTGAGAGCCGAATGTGCCGGCACACACTTAGATCCATGCTCGCAAGAGCTATATCAGTTTGGGAAGTCCAGTGTTACTGCAAGCAGACCTTTACACGCAATTAGACCTAGGGTTTATTCGGCAGGGATGTGAAAATTGTGTTCTCATACGTTCTCATTGTAGCGAATCTAATGGTACTATAGTTATTCCAAAAAATACTGCAATTACGGCGTTTATGAAGTGGCCCCGGCGGGGGGTTTTGCTCGCTTGTGGCTGAGAAGGCCGGAAGAGATTGTGAGCCGTGTCAGTTAAAACTGTAACGGGCGCTGTTTCAAGACCAAATGAAAAGGAGGAAGACTGCAAAAAAAACCCTCACTAACTCACTCGTTCTTTCCTGCTCTCTGCCCTCTGCGGCGCACAAATGCCATCGAGAGTCTCAAGTTGGAGTACATCGGCGCGTGCAAAGCCAAAAAATCATAGCTCAGTGCTGCTGAAAACTCCCGCTTTGTCACACCAGTGTAGCCAGAGGGCGCTGTTCGGGCCGTGAGCACTTCCCAAAAAATGATGAACAAAGATAGGAAAAGCTCTTGGAACATGAGAACCAGAAAAAGAAGGGTTTCACGCTCAAAGCCTCCGAACACAAAGTTTCGGTGCTGGGACTCCAGATAGCCATAGCAAAGCAGGAAGAGCGCCACCTGTGGTCATCTGTAGGTTCAAGAGTGCAAACTGCAAGCCGATTTGCTGGGAAGATGATTCTAGCGATTCTAGGCAAAGTGGCTGGCTTCATGTTGACTGCCATCAAATGGCCCAATTGCCACGTGTCTTGCTCAGGCCGGAATGGCGATGCATAATCCGGAAGCTCCCCTGCCCTCAGTCGACACAATGAACAAATGCAACCCCCACTGAGGCTTCAGAAGGCAGGAGCAAACCCAACTGCCAAAGGTAGCGCCGCTTGTGGAGTGGATAGACCATTTCGGGATGCAAACTTCACCTCCTTTGCTCCCAGTCTAAGTCGTATTCGTTTAAGCGCTTGATGGCCTTTGCCATCCTTTGCCCTCACCTCCACATCCCTTGCCAACCAGTCCGACGGTCACAAACATTGCAGTTGACAGTGGGCCGCTAAATGATCTACAGCTACAGTAGATGCAAGAAGCCCCGTATAAATCATGCGTGATGGTTCAACTGCGCAGGTGCAGGCTTATTATTATATAGATAAATACACATGAGTTGGATGTTGATCAGCATTAAAAACTTAAGCATGACCTGGACAATGCCAACTACACATCAAACGGCGATAGAAAACAAAGTGAGAACTAACTAGCACAAACCACTCCTCAGGAGCAAATTAATCTCAAACCATTATATAAAGGCAAACTCTTGGGTCACAGGACCGTAAAAACATATTCAGGAAACGAGTGCAGCAACCAGGATCATAACAATCAACATGGAAACGTCGACGTGGTGGCATGTAGCACTTGAAAGAATGCAAATCAATGCATATAAGACAAACCTCCAAATCACAACAAGAATACATATGCAAGTGCAAGCAAGCTGCGATGATTCATACACTTCCATCAATGCATGGGCAAAAGTGACCAGAACGATTGCAAAACCATACATGGTCTCGAGGAGGGCAAGTTCCTGACCGTTCTGGCGAGATATGAAAACATTTATTTGCTTGTTGTTCTTCACACATCTGAAACGAGGGACTCCGACTCCGGAAATGCCATTGTGTTCAATGTTGAATGATTCTCTGCTGGCATGATGACATGATGTGAGTCCTGGATCTTGGTGTCGTTTACATCACGGGCCTTCCCCAAAGAATCCAATGCCTCATCAGGAAGGTCGACCAAGATTATTGTAGAGTGACTGGCACCCGTCTACTGCTTTTCAATGAGCACTATGGATCACGTGGTTACATGATTCCACATGTACAGTAATGGTTTCACAGTATGTATGCATTATATGATATCCGCCGACCCCGTGGTGCAGCAAGGGGGAGCGCGCCCCGAAATGGTATGTTCTGTTGTATCAATTGTGGCCATAAGGTGTGCTACTGCTTCTTTATCTAGAAATCCCACCCCGAAGTGTTTTTGGTGCTCGGTGCACAGGTTTCTGTGCCCCTGCAACAGTGGAATTGCCTGCCGAGATCCCAGCTCGAAGTGTCTTTGGTCCTCGGTGCACAGATTTCTGTGCCTGGAACAATGGAGCTCTGTGCCCCAACAGTGGAATTCCTGCCAGAACCTTGATTTTTTATTCCGTTCAGGAGTGGCGTTTGGCGGTAGAGGGACGGCAGGAGGCTGTTTCGTCACGCCGTGCCAGGGTGTTTTCCTGATTCGAAGGGTGTCTTGTGGCTTGGCTTGTGTGCCTGGAACAATTGCCTGCCAGACCCTTGATTTTTTCATTCGGTTCAGGAGTGACGTTTGGCCCGGGCAGAGGCACGGCAGGAGGCTGTTTCGTCACGCCGCGCCAGGGTTTTCCTGATTTGAAGGGTGTCTTGTGGCTTTGTTTGTGCCTGGAACAATTGCCTGCCAGACCCTTGATTGATTTTTTCATTCGGTTCAGGAGTGACGTTTGGCCCGGGCAGAGGGACGGCAGGAGGCTGTTTCGTCACGCCGTGCCA